TCACCTCTCTTCCCGTAGTCTTCTAGGACATGTGACAGGTCACAGAAGACTACGGGGCCATTCACAAAGCGCAGTGCTTCTCGTGCATGCGCAGCGGGCACTCGGCTGTGAAGCCGCAAGCTGTCCCAGCCAGGTGCCCACACTAAGCCTTCATTCACACTGATGCAGTGCGGAATTTGCAGTGTTTGCTAATATCAAAATGTCTTTTTCTCAACAATTGTGTTTTTTTTCCCCACCAACTATTGAAACTTGGAGACACTACAACTGAATGCATAGATCAGGTCCTAATTTACTGAAGGTAAAGTGTATGCAAAGTCTTTTTGTTTCCTTCTTCGATAGAATAGGGAATGGTTAGAACTCCTGTCAGCTATTATTTTGTGCTCCATGTACCGGGGGGGGGGGGGGGGGGGGGGGGGTGTAGATTCTGCTTTAATTTTTTATCCCAGCAACATAGCAAGAAGACAAGATCCCTCCAAAACAAAATAATATCCCCTGTTTGACAGTTGTCACTGAAAACCTGGAGAAGGGTTTGATTTTTTTTTTTTTAATCACTTTCTGTACTAAAGGACAGCAGTCAACAGGACAACTCTAGAAGGTAAATCTTTCCAGAGTAGACGCAAACAGCAATAAATCCTGAGCAGGATTCTACCCTTTCAACAAAGCATATACACTCACCGGCCACTTTATTAGGTCCACCTGTTCCATTGTTTGGTAACACGAATTGCTAACCAGCCAATCACATGGCAGCAACTCAATGCATTTGGGCATCTAGACGTGGTGGGAGACGACATGCTGAAGTTCAAAACCCAGCATCAGAATGGGGAAGAAATGGGGTTTAAGTGACTTTGAATGTGGCATGGTTGTTGATGCCAGACAGGCTGGTCTGAGTATTTCAAAAACTGCTGATCTGAGATTTTCATACATAAACCAGAGAATTGTCCGAAAAAGAGAATAAATCCAGTGAGCAGCAGTTGGTTGAAGGAAAATGCCTAGCTGCTGACAGAGGAGAATGGAGAGACTGGCTGGAGATCATAGAAAAGGATACAATAACTCACAAACCACATGTTACAACCAAGCTATGCAGAATATCTCTGAATGTACAACACCTTGGAGCAGATGGGCTACAGCAGCAGAAGACCACACCTGGTGCCACTCCTGTCAGCTAAGAACAGGAAACAGAGGCTACAATTCACACAGGCTCACCAAAAGTGTACAACCGAAGATTGGAAAAATATTTCCTGGTCTGAGGAGTCTGGATGTCCCTAGAGATAGTTGTGTGTGAAAATCCCAGTAGATCAGCAGTTTTTGAAATACTCAGACCAGCCCGTCTGCCACCAACAACCATGCCACGTGCAATGTCGCTTAAATCCCCTTTCTTCTCCATTCTGATGCTCGGTTTGAACTTCAGCAAGTCATTTTTTCACCATTGCATTGAGTTGCTGCCATGTGATTGGCTGATTAGCAATTTGTGTTACCAAGCAATTGAACAAGTGGACCTAATAAAGAGGATAGTGAGAGTAAATTCACTCTGTATGCATAATAAAGTGGGCAGTGAACATAAATCCACTCTATATGCATTGCAAACCCAGACAGCACCTTGTAAACATAGCAATGACATCATCGCTGTGCTGTACATAGCCTGAGAAGACAGCACTGCTGTGGGAAGGACCCAGAAGGTCCCACCCACTAGGAGCTGTCTGCAGAAAACTACAAAAGGGGGCAGAGGCAAGACCCAGTCATACTGCACATAGAAACAGAGCAGCCGCGAGCGGTCTTTATTACAGGAAGCTCCTGCAGAGCAAAAATCTGAACAGTGGGATTACTGCACAGATCTGGAAGAAATACACAAAGAACACCAGAATTCAAGAAAGCGTACACACATCACCTGTTTATAGACAATATTTGCTGATCCTGGAGTGGAGCTTTAAAACTGAACTATGGAAAACTAAAAAGTCTACCCTTGCAGTGGTGCCACCCCTGCACTGCAGGGGTTAACTGCCCATTTAGACTAGAGGGCCCTAAAAGCACTTCTATTTCCCTGATCCTCCACTCCTCCGGCAAACGGCGCCCTCGTTTGCTTAGGCAGTGTCCTTGCGTCCAATGCAGGGCTATGATCCCTGCATTGTCCTCGATAACATCACAGAGCCTCAAACTGCAGGAGAAGACGCTGCAGGGACTGGTTCAGCACTATGGAGTAGCTTGCGAGAGGGGAGAGTCAGGAAAGTACAACTGCTGCACACAATCTAATAATTGTAAGCCCCCCCCCCCCCTCAAAAGCACAAAAGGAGAAAAAAAAAAAACACTTAAAGAACATACAAAAAACAAAAACCGACAAAATTATAACAATTTGGCCTGCGCCTTATTTACAGTCCTGCACAATGTATGGACATTAACAGTATCTTCAATGTTCTGCAACATAGTTAAAATGTTTCCATAACAGGAACCTCCCGAGATGAGATTTATCAATGATACAAAAATGAACCCCTGCAGTATATTAGGATTCCATGCCTGACATATTTTTTTTTTTTTTTTTTTTTTTTTTTTTTTTTTAGGAGTTTTCAGAATTTTCTGGCCATTGTCCACTAATCTAGGACCTTGATAAAAGTCTGCAGGGAAGCATGAATCTTCCACATGTACAATACAGTAGGATTCCTTGTGTAGAAGGTAACTTGTCATTATAACATTGCACCAATCGGCTGGCTTGACACCAGAATGACAGTTTATTTTTGTCAGTAGACGTTCCATCCATCACCGCCAGAAAAGGAAATCTTTTGTCATCTTCCCAATCTAGATTGAGCCTGTCAGTCCATTGTCACCTGAAAACGCTGTCATTCTGATCATGTTTCCGAGCTGCAGGAGAAAAAAAGAAAAATTTGAAATAAAATCAATGTACAAGGATTGGTTTTAAGAGTCTAAGAGATATTTGAATAACATTAGTATAGGTCACGGGGTAGGGCAACTGTGGCCCTCCAGCTGTTGGTGAAAAAAAAAAATAAAAATGTAAAAAAAAAAAGTTTAAAATTATAATTTTTGGTTATAAACTAATTTGGGCTATTTTTTTTTTACTAAAAAAAGATAACGGAATAAATTTTGGCAAAGATTTATGATGAAAAATTATTTGTTTGCAAAATTTTATAAGAAAAAAACACTTTTCAAAATTTTTGGACTTCTTCATTTACATAGCAAAAAAAATAAAAATCCCAGCGGTGAATAATTACCAGCAAAATAAAGCTTTATTGGTCTCAAAAAAAAAAAAAAAATGCTAAAAAATTCATATGGGTACAGTGTTGCATGACCGCGCAATTGTCATTCAAAGTGTGATAGCGCTGCAAGCTGAAAATTGGCCTGGGCAGGAAGGGGGGGATGAAGGTGTCCTGGACTGGAAGGGGGGTGAAATGTATGGAGGGGGAAAAAGCCAGCAGTAGAGCCTGGTCACCTGCATGGTCATTCTACCGGCTGGCTCTGCCAATCACAGAGTTCTCTTCTGCGTTGAACAGACAGAACTCTGAAGAAACACTGCAGACTTCACACAGACGCCTGCATTTTATGAATGGGCTTGAACATGCAGGCGGAGGGTGTGGAAAAACATTCCAGTATATAGTGGAAAAACCCACAGCGATATTGGTTGTGTTATAAATAGTGCTCCTAAATCATTTGTTCACACCTATTTCACTAAAAGCCCTCATGATATGTAACCTGTTACCCAACATCCAAATACATGGAAATGGTATCCTAAAAAAAACGGTGATATCCTTACAAATGTAATACATCTCTAGCTGTTGGCGCAAGCGAATCTTCTTCATATCATCGTAAAAATTAGACTCGGATGCCGTCTCTATGGTCGGTGGCACTGTAAATATCCGCATAATCTTCCTCTTGTTTCCTGAAATAGAAGATAGATCTTAAATGAAATGCAGAGCCCTTTCCACACGTTTCAGACACAGGTGTCAAAAGGACCCAGTTTAAATCAGAAGCAAACATTATATTGGCGCTCGGCAATTCTTAGATGTGATGGCTGCATTTTGTTTCTGGCTTTCTTTCTTCTATTTTCATCTGGTGATCTGGCCAGGTAGTTCGTTTTTCAAAAGGACAAGCTCTCCAGCAGAATGTATCAGTTTACATAGAGGAGACAAGCCATTTAAACACTGTAGGCAGTGGTTGCTTAACCGCTACTGTGCCGCCCTATAGCAGGAATACTGCTACAGGGCGGCACGGGGTGCAAAATCACTAATATATATACACACACACACATATAATATATATATACACATACACACACATATATATATATATATAAATATATAATTATATTATACACACACACATACACATATAATACAGTGGGGATCGAAAAGTTTGGGCACCCCAGCTACAAATTTGTATTAATGTGCATAAAAAAGCCAAGGAAAGATGAAAAAATCTCCAAGAGGCATCAAATTACAGATTAGACATTCTTATAATATATCAAACAAAAGTTAGATTTTATTTCCATCATTTACACTTTCAAAATAACAGAAAACAAAAAAATGGCGTCTGCAAAAGTTTGGGCACCCTGCAGAATTTATAGCATGCACTGCCCCCTTTGCAAAGCTGAGACCTGCCAGTGTCATAGATTGTTCTCAATCATCGCCTGGGAAGACCAGGTGATGTCAATCTCAAAGGTTTTAAATGCCCAGACTCATCTGACCTTGCCCCAACAATCAGCACCATGGGTTCTTCTAAGCAGTTGTCTAGAAAACTGAAACTGAAAATAGTTGACGCTCACAAAGCTGGAGAAGGCTATAAGAAGATAGCAAAGCGTTTTCAGATGTCAATATCCTCTGTTTGGAATGTAATAAGAAATGGCAGTCATCAGGAACAGTGGAAGTTAAAGCAAGATCTGGAAGACCAAGAAAAATATCAGAGAGAACAGCTCGCAGGATTGTGAGAAAAACAATTCAAAACCCACGTTTGACTGCACGGAAACGATCCCTCCAGAAAGATCTGGCAGACACTGGAGTTGTGGTACACTATTCCACTATAAAGAGATACTTGTACAAATATGGTCTTCATGGAAGAGTCATCAGAAGAAAACCGCTTTCTACATCCTCACCACAAAAATCATTGTTTGAACTTTGCAAATGAACATATAGACAAGCCTGATGCATTTCTGGAAACAAGTTCTGTGGACCGATGAGGTTAAAAAATTGAACTTTTTGGCCGGAATGAGCATAAAAGGTACGTTTGGAGAAGAAGGGGCAACAGAATTTAATGAAAAGAACCTCTGTCCAACTGTTAAGCCAAGGGTTGGATCAATCATGCTTTGGGGTTGGTGTTGCAGCCAGTGGCACAGGGAACATTCACGAGTAGAAGGAAAAATGGTATTCTTAAAAATTTCAGCAAATTTTGGAATGGTAACATGATAAACCATCTGTGAAAAGCTGAAGTTTAAAGAGAAAATGCTTCCAAAATGGCTAATGATCCTAAACACAAGCCTCGAAAAAATCCATAAAAAAAAATCAATAGCGTAAACTGAAATTGGGACAAACCAAGGCAGATTCATAAAAAACCTGACCTATCAAAAAAATCAAAAAAACTATAAAATAGAAAAAAAGAACAGTAGCCATACAATAAAAAGCTTCACACAATTCAAAAAAACACAACTATAAGAAAACAAACAAAAAAAAAAAATCAAGTTACCATCCAGCAACCTGAACTAACGTGGGCTGGGGCTTACATAAGCGGTTGAACAAGCTGTGATACAAGAATCAAAGGGGCAAAAAAGTTACACGATATTAAATCTGCAGGGTGAAAAAAACTTTAGCCAGCCAAAAAACAATGCGAAACACTACGAAAATAAGACGTGTAAAAAACTGGAAAAAAAACAACAATAACCATAAACGCGAAAACACGCTCAAAAGAAGTCCAATAACAATAAGGTTGATGCGCAAAGGAGAAATCAAAAAAAGACATCAATAAAACCATAACAAACCTAAAAATACAACATTAACCAAAATTTAAATAAGAAAATGAAAACCTCAAAAGAATAACGACAAAAAATACAATAAATATAATATATTTAAAAAAAAAAAATAACATAATCATTAATAACCATACATACACATATACAATTATTTCATTTATATATCTACACATACAATCTTTACATAATTTCATAAAAATCAGCTACCTACCACAAATACACCAACAACTTAAAATAAGCGAAATCAGTTCCAGCTGGGGACACTACGCGCCCTACCCGCGCCGCATTAATGCGGCACAAAGCTATTAATATCAAAATTACAAACAAAACATATCTTAAAACATCCAGTTATATTAATAAATCATTACTACAATGCATTAATTGGCAAACGCTAAATTCAACACTGGATGTACTAAATCTAAATATGTTGTCAAAAATTCAATATCTCACTAACTAATATTTTAGTATCCAGCAGTGAAGGGGGTGGGGGGTAAAACAGGTCCCTATTTTTTGACAGGTACCCACCCCACTTTCTTAGTTGTGCCCCTCCCCCCCCCGCAACCCACTGTGCTACCTTCCAAGGGCCCCCACATTTATGTGGCCCTTCAAAAAAGCACCGGCATGTGAAAGGGGGAAACCGCATGAAGGGGGTGGGGGGGAAGAGCAGGTTCCTAGTTTTGATGGGTACCCCCCCCCTTCCCTTATTGCACCCCGCAGCTTTCTGCTCCTTCCAATTTCCAAAGGACGCGGTCATTCACAAAAGCACCATGCAGTGAATGGGGGAACAGCATAAGGGGAGGTGGGGGGAAGAGCAGGTACCTAGTTTTGACAGGGCCCACCCCATTCCTTAGTTGCGCACCCCCCCCCGCACACCGGCAAACCCTTCCAAGGCCCCAGAGGACTGCGGCCCTTCACAAAACACTTGTGAACTCGCATGGGGAACCACAGTGAAGCACTGCAATTTTCCCCTTAGTCAAGGGGGGTTGGGCCAGAAACCTGACACCCGCTGGATACCTGGAAGGAAACCCGCCCAAAATTTTAAAAAGTCAAGTTACAGTATCTGCTACTATTTTTTTTGAGGGGGTGGGGGGAGGGGCAGAACTCCTCTTTTAAATCAAATGAGAGGGATAGGGTTTAAAGACAAAAAAATACAAATTCCCCCCCACTGGCAGGGCTGTTTTAGGCGCAGCTGTCCCCCCCCGGTCAAAGCCCAAAAACTGAGCAATCCCCCTTTTTTTTCAGTACTTCTATACGCCGTCAATTTTTCGCACGCTTTTCATAAATATTGTACATTCACATCGTCCCTAACCCTCAAGGGGGGGGCCAATCGAAGGTTTATTGTTTTTATCAGCTCTAGGCATGGGGGCAATACTGCTCACCCCCTCTCCCCTTGCCCCTCCATGTCACTGGACACTGGGCTGGGGAATAAGAGATGCGCTGGGTTTGGATCTCCGTGGGGCTGAAGCTGGAACCAACTGTTAAAAGGCATGGGGACCTGACAAAATGGTCGGGATTCTTCAGATCCGGAAATGGCTCTGTGATGTCAGCCGACACCAAGAAAAAGAAGAAGTCAACAGAAAACTTTGGCCGCACTTTTCTTAAAACCAAAATGTTTTCTTTAGGCCGGCCATACACGGGTCAAATTTAATGATTTTTTTATCCAAAAATCGGGGCCCAAAATAAACAGCCCCTTTTTCCCCCCCTGTTTAAATGGTCAAAAGGCACCGACAATTTTCGCGGTTCCCTCCCCTTTTTCGTAAATTTGGGGATGTTTGAAAATAGTGAAAAACGACGATTTTTTTACTCAAAAGATGGGCAAGTCGTACGATCGTTGTTCCGAAAAGAACACGCGCAGAGCCGTGACCTGGAAGGAACAGAAAGTTTGGGCCTGTTAAATGAATTTTTATGACTCGGCGGGCCGATTTTCGAAAAACAATGTGAACCCCCGTTCGGATTAAAAGAGCGAAGGCGGTTTTCGATTTTTTTGGACAAAAATTTATTCGGAAAATTTGGAAACCCAAAAGTTAAAAACCTTTTTTTGGGGTTTCCCAATTTGGAAAAACCCCAAAAAAAAGTTCCCAAAAAAGGCCAAAAAATCACTTCCCGCGTAAAATGAAAAGGCCGAAAAATTTCCCCAAAGGGGTTCACTTCAGGTAGAAGTTGGGGGGGCCCCTTTATTCCCGGGGTTGGGGGACGGAATAAGGGCAATGGTTGGGCCGGGCAAACTTTTCCATTTAACCCCCCTAAACCCCCAGCCATAGGCCCCCGGGGGGGGGGGGGGGGGGGGGGGGAAAAAGGAAAAAGGGTAAAAAAATTAAAAAAATTAATAAAACAAACCCCGTTTTCCAAAAAAAATTTTGCCGATTTCCCAAAAAAGGGTTTGTTGCCTGGTTCTCTGGCTCACTGGGGCCTGGAAAAAAAGGGTTTTAAAACTACAAAAGGGAAAGGGGCTTTTTTTTTGGGTTTTCACTTATTGGTGTTTGCTGTTATATATTATAATTTTGAGAGTTTTGTAACTTTTAATTATTTATTTTTATATAAATGTCATCGATTGAGCAATACTTGTTAAATATAATATAGTGAGAGATGTCTGTATATTCTATCTTTGTTTAATATAATGTCTTCTTTTGTTTATAATAAGGGGTTATTAGACCTCTATAACCATATTAATCTTTTAGAATTTCTATTGGAAAAGATATTGTTCATTTTTTTATATATTTTGTTAATAGGAAAATTGTAAGATAATAGGTGTTATTATTTAGGGGATAATCTTAAATTCATTAAGAAAATTTAACATCTCATTGGTAGCTAAAATATCATTTTGATCTAACTAGTTCGAGAGTAATACGTGATTTGGTCCGATTACAATCAGATTATATAGAACTTTGATTAATTGACTAACTT